AGTCCCTGAAATATCATAAAAGTGTGTGAATGGAATTGCATCATGAAAAATCCCGAAAAATATGCAAAATGCATGAGTTTAAACCTAAATGCAATGCACTTTTATGAACTAAAACTACAAAATGAATGCATGAAATGCATCTAACATTAGTTAAATAAACTAATTGGTATATTATGTTATCTTTATTTGATAGAACTTGGTATCTCTTGGGATTAATGAAGAATCTGGGAAATAGTTGATATAACTTTATAAATACGAACAAATACTAAAACGTAGTAATATTCGTATTTAGGTCGTGTAAAAGGGGAAAAACTGAAGTTAGAAGAAGAGCTAACTTACCCGGAAGTATTCCACCTTAATCAGGTGAGTGCGTAGTTACTTTCATGTACATGATTCTAATAAAAGTATATGTTATTTAAAAGATTAATTGTATATCTTGTCTTGTGAGTATGTAGTTATTTTCATAAGCATGATTTCAATAAAAGTATTTAATATCAATTAAATGACTATATGTGTACTAGATGCTTATTGTTTGGAATATGTGTTAAGTGTATATTTGATAATATTACATGACAATCTTAATAAAAGTATTGTCACTTGAAAGATTAAATGTATACTGAATGATTGATATGTCATGTTAAATGTATACCACGTATTATGATAGTATTACATGAACATGGAATTGTATTAGAAGTTGATTACATGTATTGTAGTATTGTCTAGTTATAAACTAAGGCTTGTAAATGATGCTTAGTTCGAAGTAAGTTGAATAAGCGAGTAGTCTCATTATGGGGTAAGATGTGATATTAAAGTGGAGTGTAGTAGTCCTCATCTTTCTAGACAACCAGAAATGGTGGATCTGTATTAGACAATCGGGGGTATGTCTGGTCATCTACCAGAGTAAGACGACAACACTTGATTATTCTAGACAGTCTTGTGAATTACGTTGTTAGTGTGGACTTATAACCCACAAACGTAGATGAAATGGGATACCATATTTATCAAATACTCCAAGGCTTGGGTTACATTTATAACTTACATCTGCCAAGGAATCCCCTAGTTGTGTAGTCAAACCGTTGCTCTAAACGATTCATTAGGTAAGGTGATTCTTTCAGATGATCGTTGATTATGATTTATGAGAATCGATTGGGTTTGGTATGTATGGGTATATTGTCTTATAGATATTTACGTTGAATTATACATCTATATTGTTGGTAATGTAGGTTTTGCAGGATTATTATTTATGAGTTATTATCATAATAATATCGTGAGATTGAAAACCATAGGTGTCTCAACAGTTTCCTGACCCACTCAAATTATATGCATCACAGGTAGTGGTGCTAAGACTATTGGAACTTGATTAGGATGTCGAGTGAATAAGAGACAATCTACAATAGTATTTAGCACTGATATGTCTTTACGATGTAACTCATGTTGTGTATTGATTATGACATCCTTAGGGTTTTGTTATTCTAAAACAACATGTGTACTCAAAATATTTTAATAAACTGATATTTTCCGCAAACAAAGACAACATCCTTATGGTTTTATTATTCTGAAACAACATATGTCACACTTATGGGTATCTGAGCCTACTTATTCTACTAAGATGGCATATGCACCAAGTTCAACTTCATTAAGAGATAAAGGAAACGGTGTTGTTGGAACCTCGGATCGTAGAGGGGCCTCTGGTTGATTTAACTTGATTGATAAAGAAATAGAATAAGATATTGGATTTTCTGAAGATGGCGAGGAGGAGGGAGTACTTAGTATTGATGTTGCCGATGATGAGTTTTAGGCATTTTGGTTATTGATGATTTTTGTTATGTTTTGTATTTGTCTTTTTGAGATATGACATTGGTGTTTTTGCTTCTTAAGTTAATTATTAAATTGTACATATCATGCTCATATATAAAACAATCACTAATTTAGAGATAAAATGAATCAATGATCCGTGTGTGAAATGTACTTTGTGACTTATGCACATTTAGTGAGTAAAACTGGTAACTCACATTGGCCTTGACGAATCATTTGTTAACTCCAAGTTTCGGTCTCCCTTTAAGTTGTTAAGACCTCACCTAAACACATATATCATCAAGTTATTAAGTGCATTCAAAGTCTACAAGTTTAGCTCAACATACTTCAAATTTTATATTGTATTTCTTTATACTTCAAGCCATGACCATTGTTCAGTGTTTTGGTGATAAAACAGAATCTATAGCTCTAATTGGGATGAGATTAGACTTTCTGGAAACTAGACTCGATTTCCTAGAACGTCATGAGATTGGAGCATCATCAATTCTGCCCAGATTAGCAGCTATAGCTCTCGCAAGATGGGGCAAAGTTGTTGTGCAGAATTCCAACATTCACCAAAAATCACCATATGCTTTAAGACTTTAGATAAAGGATTAAAGTCACTCCATTTTACACACAAAAGGATTGAATGATAGTATTAAGACATCAATTGGGTACTTTATGAGAATATCAAATAGATGACACAAAAATGTTGAGAGTAGAATGCCTAAACATATAGACGAACGTTTAGAACAAAGTTCCAGATTTTGACCCGCAACAGCAACCTGTTCAAGGCCATTTCAGCACCACCAAGTCCTGCAAAATATACAGTATTTTTGTATATTCCAGTATTTTAAACTTTTATATTTTCAGGGAGTGCCCGCACAAGTCCATGCGATTTTTTTACTATTTTATATGGATTTTGCAAAATAGGATATCAATGAAGTTACTTTCTGACCAGTCAGTGAAAAAGACGATTTTCACCTTGGCTAGGGACAATATCAGGTCTTGGGAAAAATCATAGACAAACTAGACTCAAAATTAAAATGTAGAGAGTTTACGGATCACTAATACGATTTCCGATGATTTTTCTAGATTTTTTTTCAAAACAGGGGCAGAATAGTAAATTTTCAGAATTTCCTGGCAATGCATTTTAAAGGATTAATTGACAACTTAATCCATTAAGCCATAGCCAAAATCAACTAAAAAGATGAAAATTGAGTTCTTAACAGTAGCAACATGTCAATGAGTCAAAACGACAATTTAATTCTCAACCATGACTCAAAGTACATTGATTTAAAGGGGAGACAAAGTACATTGCTCGGATAGAAAACACCATTAAGGGCTTGAGTTTCCTCCACCATTAAGACACATATAAAGACCTTTAGGTATTGTTTTGAAGACCTTTTGGATGGTTCAAAATATGGTATTTTTTACACAAAAATACCCCATGAAAAATCATTAGAATTGAAATAGAAGGAATCATGAAATCTAGCAACAAAGGAAGGCATCGATTTCATAGTTTTGAGCAATTCATGAACATGATTAACAACACATTTGAGAATGTTATTAACATGATTTTGACAGCCATAAATCATCAAAACACAATCAAATATGCTTGGAGTTTGATTACATAAAAATCATAAGATTGAAGGTAGAAAGAAGTATGATCAATAACACCAAATTGACTCACCAACTCAACCAATTATCAAGAAATTGAGATGAAAACATGAGAAGAAGAAGAAGTAGAGTGTTTTACCAAGATTGGGATTGATTTCACAGCTCCAAACTTCCTTGAAAAGTCGACAATGACAGCCTCTTTCTTCCCTCCCTTCTTTCTCAATTCGATGCCTACTCCCCTCTCCGAACGATTGCTTTTTTCCTTCTTGTCAATCAACGAGCAACAGCAAAACCCAATAATGATTGGGATCGTTCCTTGATATGAGCGTATAGGACATGAAGGAGTAAAAAAACGTTCGAACCCGCATAACTCACCATAAACCGGTCGATTAAAACCCTTGGGAGTTTTAATTCGATTTTTACCTTCTAATCCCTAAAGTCTCAATCTTGTGATCCTTTTACCCTAATCCTAGATGTCATAACATTATAGGTTTCTTTTAATGACATTTCAGCCCCTCAACATCAATTTCACAATTCAAATGAATTACACTTAACCTAGTTTCCACAAAATCAATTTATTGAATTACATTCCTCTTATTTATTGGTTAATTCTTTTAGATATTAAATAATATTATTTTTATTTAATTCATTTTATTATATAACCTTAAAACCAAAATAATCCTATGAAATTAAATATGTGTCTAACGGAAGCTAAAATCATAAACGGAAACAAATTCGGGTCGTTACAAACGAGGAGGGAGAGGGGATCACATTCCAGGCGGTGTTTAAGATGGTTTTCAGGGGCTGATTTGGTGGCGGTTCTAGGCGATTTTGGTGAAGGTAAAGTTCAAAAATTAGGGGGATGGAGATGGTTAGCTTCGAGGGTGGTATAAGGCATATGGTAGTTGCTGTTTGGAGGCAATGGACAGATGATGTTCGAATGCTGCAGGTTGTACGAAGGTGGTTCTGACTGAAGTAGGTTTTTTCTAGTTTTGAAGGTAAGGTTTAAAGTAGGTTTGGTTGCGGTTTTCAATGATGAACATGGGTGCAACAAGGGTATACCTGTGGTGATGTAACCCAACAAAGGAGGAGGTAGGAAGCTGGTGGTAGGTTTTAAGGTGGTATAAGGTATTTGATTGAGGAAGAAGGGTGAAATTGGGAAGGTGGTGATGGAAGTATGGCGTTTGAGAGATGCAGGTGGTGTTCATCTGATGATTTGTTGGGGTGGGGGTATGAAGTGGGGCTCTATTGTTTTTTCTTTTATTTTTAAATTAAAAATAATAATTATAACATTAAATTAAATGGAAAAGAAATACAAAAGGGCATAATAGTCATTTTATGTCTCGTAAGAAATGAGGCGTGCAAATTTAAACTAACGAGGGATGAAGTGTGCAACTATTAACAAAACGATGGGCGGTCTGAGTTAATTTTTGAAAATAAAAACTAAACACGCATTTTGACATATGCACGAGAGACGATTGGTGTAATTTACCTAAAGTTAAAATATTGGAGGACGAAGATGGAGGGTGAGTGATAGTCAAGGGAGTGGACTGCACCATTATATTTAATAGTGCGGTTTAGCCTGGATGTTCGATTCTCAACGACCACTTCTCCTTTTCCAATTTCAAAATTCACGGAGAGCCGGCCGAAGTGACATCCACGACGATCAGGAAAACAGAGTGTTCATCAAGTGCTCGATCCAAAAAATCGGTGGAGTAAGAACGATTACTATTGAAATGACGTCGATTCAAGGAAGCGATAGTAGTTGGGTGGGAAGAAAACCTCTCAGACGACTTGGTGGCATGTCAGATGCCCTCTCAATCGCTGCCGACCTTGGTTTCTCTGTAGCTCCTCCTCCTTCCCAGGTCAATTTTCTTATCTGTGATCTTACACACATTCGCCTTAAATACATGTTGAATTTGTGAATTTAGGGTTCTAGCCTTCTAGGTGTCTGCAATCTCCAAACGAGGTGAAATTAGGGATTATTGTTTGTTAGTTATGTTACTTTGCTTATGGCTGTCAAGTTACAAAATTATTTAAGATTTAGGTTTACCTATTTGAAGATTTTGATCGGGGGTTTTGACGATAATTTATTGTGCGTGACATGTTTTTATATACAATCACTGTATGAAAACTGGAAGGGGCTCCTTTAGTATATTGTTAGATTTCCTGAATCTCTTTTATATGATATTTGGGAAATGTGTGAAAGATAGTCACTTATCAAATATTTGTAACATGTAGGTCTACTATGCAATGAAGAATATTAGCGTACTTGTGCTTCAACCATACTGATAGATTGGAAAATGTTTGTGTTTTCTTTATATTTCAAAAGAAAGAAATTAAGACTTACTGGTTGCCATCTGATTACTTGCAAATTGTGCATCAGGATACATTGTGGTCCTTTTCGCTAAAAGCAATCACTCAGATGCTTTTATGAGCATCTATGTGCTTATCTTTGAAGTTAGAGAAGCAGTAATTTATCATCACTGGTTACTTATATTGTCAAAATATTAGACTGCTTGCATTTCCCTTGATTTTTTTTTGTGTTCTTGTTTAGGAAGACTTGCAGAATTTATCAGGTGGAGGTGAAAAAGGCGATGACTTGATACGAGTCTTGAGGGAACTTACCTCTGTACAAAGAAAAATTGCAGATTTGCAAGTGGAACTTCAAGGTCGCAAGGTGAAGTCATCAATCTTTCTATATTGATTCTAGAATTTTATTTTGGGTAAAAAAACAACAGAAAAAAAAAACCCAACTTTCATTTAGCGAATGCCGATTTCTTTTTTGCACTTTCAGGAAGATAAAAATGTGGCACACTTGACACATGTAAGTGAAATGGAGAAAAAGATAGAAACTTTATCAAGAATCACTACTATATTAAAAGATGTTATCCAGAATAAGGTAATACATTTTCTGCCTTGTCTCAAATCTTTTTATTCAACACTTTTTTTGAGATTTCTCATTTGTACTTTATTCAACTTTCAGGACCGAATTATAGCCCGTCTTCAACAGCCATATTCTTTAGACTGCATTCCTGTGGAAGCAGAATATCAAGTGAATCTTTTAATACTTGCAATATTTTATTTTCATATCAAGAAAACTTTTATGTTTAACATTTTCAAAATTTTACAGAAACAATTCTCTGAACTATTGATGAAGGCTGCTAGTGATTATGGTGCTCTAACAGCATCTGTTGCAGATTTCCAGTGGACTCAAAACTTTAAAGAACCACCATCCGTTTGGGGGGTATGTCTATTACAATCTTTCTAGGGCTTTTTGTTATGATGAGGACATTTATGTCTTTTGAGTCACTGACATCAAATGTACTAGTAAAGCTGTTTTGTTCTGTACTGTTCTGTTTTGTACTGTATTGACACAGACAGTGTGATGCAGGAGATGCTACGGCCAATCCCTGTGGCGTTGGCATCATGTACGAGGTTTTTTGAAGCGATGACTGCCATGAGAGAATCTTTTGCGACGCTTCAAAAACTTAGGTTAGGACCCTCTGAGTCCGGAATGACGATAATTCCCTTGGGAAGTAACGATGTTTCTCAAAGAACAACATCAATGGATTCCAATTTTATGACTCCACCTCCATGGGAAAAGGAATCGAGTTTTGATGATTTGGGTCTTGGAAGCTCGAAAAGGCAAGAGCAAGAAGAGATTGGAAACAATAGTGATTTAGATGGAATGAGTAACCGAAGATTATCTTGGCCTTTGGGAAAGGCAACTGGTTTATGATAAAATTGATTTGAGTTTGTTTGTTGGTTTTATTGTGTATGTGTGTGTATTTTCACCATGTTTGATGAGAAGAAAGTGTTTGATTTTGCATATAAGATTGATTTATAGATATGCATGCATTGGTGTTGTAAAATTTACAAGAAGTATAATTTTGATTGATTATGGATGTCAAAGATTGATATGTGTATATAACATTTTAACAAACATCATTAATCATAACTATTTTATTCTTACCGGACTTAACAAGAAAATAAACAACAAATTAACACCCAGAAAAATCAACACCAAGGTCACTTAATGTTGATCATTTAAAAATTTTGCACTTCAAAAGTAGTTGACCAATGTTTAAATCACATATTTTAGCTTTGGGGTTTTCTTTCAATCTTAAGAAAAAAAAAGGTGAACATTATAAAATCACGGACGTTATTGGGAGATTGAGATAAGCATCTAGCTTTTGTGATATCAATTTTTTTTTTCATCTATGTAACGTACTTTTGTATACCAAATTTGTAGTTTCATATGAAATATTATATACAATAAAAAAATGATAAATCATCATCTGAAAAGTCCATGTCAATACGTCAAAAAAATCTACATGAGGTCAATCGTAAAACACTATTAATATTTGGATGTATCAGAGTCATTGGACAAAATTTTCATTCCTTAACTACTACTAGACTCCCACAAGGATAGTTTTATATGCAATAATAACCAATGTTGCAAAAATTGATTAAGAAAAGTATTAAGTTTGTTACACCTACATGGTTAAATCTTTATAAAAAGATAAAATTATAGTTTACTATATTAAACAGTTACTTAAAGATATTACTTAGGCTTGGGGGTGCGGTCTCACCACAGTGGCAGCGGAACACCGCCTTCTAGATGCGGTTTGGGTGCGGTCTCGGCCGCAGTGTGTCAGAAATTCGCCGTGTTTTTTGATTGGCTGGGGACAAATGGACTGTTGGAACGATCATTTTTTCAATTTCAAGTTTTTAGTTTTTTTAAGAAAAAACATCATAAATGGTACCTGTGGTTTCCCAAAATCTGAAGTTTAGTCCCCATGGTTTAAAAACATCATAGATGATGGTCCTTGTGTTTTCAAAACTTTTGACGATTGATCCTTATTGCTAACTCCGTTAAGTTTTGTCCGTTAACTGAAGGGCAGTTTCGTCATTTCACTACCACAGAGACCATTTATGATGTTTTCTCTTATTTTTTTAAAAAAGAAAAAATAAACTCTCTCTCTGTCCCGTCTCCACTTCCTTTCTTCCTTTGGATGCAACAATCTCTACCCAATCATGATCCCTAACCTTTGAAGCTTCATCTACCACCTAATCCTCCAAAAATGAAACCCACCTTCTTCGTCTTCTCCATCAAGGTCTGCTACCAGGCGCTAATCGCTGCTCCTTTTCCTCTCTATTACAACTGAATGATCCAAAGAGGTCTTTCTTTGAATTAGGTTTAAGAAACTTGAAGATCGCCATGGATGATGAAGAAAAATGGTCAACGACTCGAGGTTAAGCAAGATAATCTCAAATAAAACTGTCGATGACTACAACCCTAAACACGACCATCGACGCACACTTACACCCATGCTTTATCACTAAAATTCGTACCTGCCACCATCACACCATCACCGGTTGATGGAGATAGTATAGGAAACTCAGGAGGTGAGTAAAAAGGGAGAGTCTATCAAGGAGGAAACGAGTAGTTGGCTGGGAAATGGTGAGGGAGCGGAGGAAAAGAAAAGAAGGAACATGAAAGAGGTTCTTCATGACGACTGTGAACTGATTCTGAAATTGGAGCAGAAGAGAGGTGATCAACACCTCTGTTTTCCGGATGCAATCAATAAAAGCCCTATATAACCCATCTTCCAACTGGATTCATGGTTCATTTCTCAACCCAAGAAGAGATTTGTGTTGTCTGGGGGATCTTCATGATTACTATAAACTCCAACTTCTCTAAGAGATCAACACAATTACCATTAGGAAGACTCCAATGGTAATACCAAATCAAATTCGCAACAAAATATTCCAAATGAAGCATAGCCAAATCAAAATCCTAGGCAAAACTGCAGCAACATCAGCAGTCAAATTAGGAGAAGAATGAGTAAATTCGATAAAAAGAGGGAGGTAGAGTGGTGTTTACGGGGCAATGAGACTTGAGGGTGATCGATTTCAAGGGAATGCGGTCGGTGGGTGAGGGTCAGCAGTTGGTATTTGGGTTTGCTGACTTGAGGGTTCTGATTGCTGCCACGGTGGATAGCAAAACACGGAGGTGGAGAATGGTGGTTTGAAAGTGATGTTGAACAGGGGCTGTGCTACTGGGTGGTTAAATAATTATATTTAATTTTTCCTTTTTTAAAAGAAATAAGATCCAACATCATAAATGGTCCCTGTGGTAGTGAAATGACGAAAATGCTCTTCAGTTAACGGACAAAACTTAACAGAGTTAGTAATAAGGACCAATCGTCAAAAGTTTTGAAAGCATAGGGACAGCTATGACGTTTCTAAACCACGGGTACTAAACTTCAGATTTTAGGAAACCATAGGGACCCTTTATGATGTTTTTTCTTTTTTTAATAAGTCTATATATACATATATTTTTTACCTAACCTTACTCACATTTCTTAATATTTTACTATCTTTTTTTTTATCAAACCACAATTCGACGCAAATTTTAATCCGTTTGATTTTGTTAAAAAAAACGTTATGTTAATCGTTTTTAATTTCTAGTTTTCTCTAAGTTTTTAATCGTTTGATGTGTGTGTAATTTTTAAGTTGTAGGTTTAAGATTTCTAGTTTACTTTTCTAAGTTTTTAAGTTTTTTTTTAAATGTGATGTTATGTTTTTCTCAAATAATACAATGTAATGGAGTTTTATTTTTATTTTTAAATTAATGAAATATTATGTTTTTTTTAAACTAAAGCTTTTATTTATTAAAAAAAAAAAGACAAGTATGACACCATTCTTTAGGTGTGTCAAAAAACCATATTTTTATAGTAAAATATGATGTAACGCCTACGTGACAGTGTGTTAAAACGAGAGAGTGTGGCATAATTCTCTCCGGACTTAAAGATACCATTTATAAATAAAATATTATGGCAATATGGCCTATGCAACTATGCTAGTATGCTGCACGTTCTACTTCTATTTATCAACTAGGTGTAAAACTCATGTATTACATGAGTTTATTTGAAAGAAAAAATTAAACATAAAATTCTAAACATTTGAGAAGTTTGAATTTATAAGAAGTTTGAATTTATAAGAAAAGTGAGAAAAATATTGAATTATAAAAATTAAAGTGTTTTTTTCCCTTTTTTAAATTTAAACTAATAATTTAAATAAATAAATAATAAAAATTAATGAATCTTTAATTTAGTAATTTTAAAATTAGAAGTAAAGTTTATTAATGAAATTGATATGCATTTATTATTGCATTTAAATACTATTTGGATTTAATAAAATGAAAAAACCATAAAATGACATGTAGAATAAAAATTAATTTAAAATAACCACAAAATTACATGTGGCAAAATAAGTGAGAATGTGACATGTGGCAAAAATATCTTTATTTATTAGGGAGGATGGTTCAAAATATATCCTCACGAATTTTAGATTATACTTCAATTTTATTGCACAATAGATTTTAGTCTAACAACATTGTCTTTTTTTTCTTTTTTTTTTTTGAGATCGAACGTTCAAATCCTGTTTAAGAAATTAAGAGTAGTTTAAAAACATATCAGATTTGTGGTTTGGGGCATAAGATGGAACTAAGAGTAGTTTAGACCATCTCCAACTCACTTCCATTTTTCCCTTCTATTTTTCCCTCCAAAATAGAGTAAAAAATAGGGTAAATAGTGTTTCTTCTTCAACCATACTCTATTTTTTACCCCATTTTTACCCCCAATAAATATATTCAATTCTTCTAACTTATAGGAATTGTCAAACGCACCCCTTCTATTAATTTGGTTTTAACAAAAATATAATCTATATTTTTTCATTACAATAATATTAAATAAATAAGATTATATTTATAATACGTAATTATAAGCTTTTGTAAAATCCGTTATTATGTTTTAAAATTTTAAATATGTATTTAAATTTTAATATGAATTTGTTAAACAAAAAACAAACTTTATATTTATAATTAATCAATATAATTTAATATATAACACAATATTATAAGTATTAAATATTACATTTAAATAATAATTAGTAAATAAAAAAACCAAAAACGTATAAATATATAAAACGAGGGAGTAAAACCGACAACTCAAAGTTCATCCCCATTTTGGAGGAAATGAATAGTACAACACCAAATATGGTGTTATACTATTTATTTCCCCCCAAAATGGGGGAATAAATAGAGTAGGGTTGGAGAGGAATAGGGGAAGAAATGGAGGAAAAAATGGAGAATGAAAATGGGTTAGATATGCTCTTAGATTAGTCGTTTGAGACATAAAATGAAGGGCTTTTGACACTATAGCACATCAATGTTTGGTCAATTTGCACATTTTAGTCACTAACGTTTTTTTGTGCTCAATTGATTCTTAATGTTAGTAAATACCAGCCAATTAAAGGAATGGGATAAAATGTTACCGGTTTAGGGGTCACTGTTGACGCGTATTGGCTTATGTAGACAACCATTTGACCATGTCATCTTATAACGTGTAAACCCTCCTTAAATGAACCCTCATTCGAACCATCGACGATACATTGTTACCCCAAATTAGGTCAGTGCCTCTCTCCCGATACGCTACATTCAATCGATATAACCAGAGCAATATCTGCCTCCTCCAGTCGATCGATCAACCTCCTGCGTGTCGAAAACCTCTGTGATGATGAACCGTGTCCACCTTGCGATTGTAAAGACGCAATAAGCATGGAAAGGACTGCCTGGACCGACGATGATGTAGCTCGCAGGTTTTGGAACTGCAAAAACTCTTTGGTGAGTATTCCTTTTGTTTACTTACACCATATTTGTTATTTTGAGCTGGAAATGTACACATTTTTGTTAATCGTAACCCTATTCCTAATTCTGGTCTTCCCTTTTAATCAGGCAGCTGAAGGTCCAAAATGCAAGTTTTTTTTATGTGGAAAGACAAAGAAATGGATAAGGGTTACTACAAAGACCAGCTTCGCAAGATGAGGTTTGAGTTGAAAAGGAAAGAAGACTTCAGTGAAGTTTCGAAGGTTCAAAAGAAGTTGGTTAAGCTGCAACAAGCTATGGAAGTATATAAGCAAGTATTTGAGACACAATTGACGGAGTTGATGAAGCAAAACAATGCGCTGAAGTGGGGGATCTTTGTTATGGTCATTATAGTCATTGTCATGTGGTTAAAGTGCCCTTGAAAAGTGCAGCTGATCAAACATGTATTCATGGTTGATGGTATATAATTCCAACCTGATTTTTGGAAAGTGTATAGGTGGATGTAGAAAGTTGTTTGCTTTTTTGGGAAGTGTATGGGTACATGGTCATGGTTAGATCCTAGTTGTAATGTATAGTCAGGTTTTTGGTTGAATGCTTGTTTGATCAGTGTATGTATGGGATGGTAGATGTAATGGGATGACAGTACATAAGAATAATTGTAATGACTTTTTGTAGATTCAGTGAATGGTATGAAAGATCCTACTTGTTATATACCTTGCTAAATTTAATGATATGCATGTGCTCCTTTTAAAAGTTGAAGTGTGGGTACCACATTGTCGGCCATAAGGACCTCACTTGGTCCATTTAAAAGTGCATTGTGTTTAGAGTCCTGTGCAGGGGTCCTTTTTGTGCAAAAGTAAAGGCATATGGACCACACGTGGTATATAAGGACATAACAATGACAATTTAAAAGTAGCTATATGTGGAAATATATTCCCTTTCCATGCAGTTTAACCACACAAGTCCTTGCCATGTATGCGACTTCAAAATAACACAACAAAAAACTCAAATTAACAACCAACTTAGTTAATACAAAATACACATCACATAAACCAACATAGTTTCATACAAACAACCACAGTTGATAGCAGTTTCATAAAAATAGCAACAATACACCAAAACACATAATTTCACACTACATACCATGTTCATATCACACAAACCAACACTTAAACTTATTCTAGAGTAAGAGGTTTAGCTTCTGAATTCCCAGGTGCATCTGCATCACCAACTATCTTGCCCAGCTTCAACTTGACAATCCTTTCAGATTTCTTCTTCCTGATTTTCTTCAAACGGGCTGTAATTGGTGTTTCTCTAGCCTCCTGCTGTTGCACATTAACCTGACTAGGTTCTCCATTTCCTGATGCATCAAACTATAAAGGAGTGAGTTCCACCTCATCACAGTGTTGTTGCACATGCACCTCATTGACTGCTTCTCCACCATCATTTACTGCTCCTCCATCATCATTGACTGCTTGATCACCCTCATTCACTTTATCACCTTCATTCATTGCATTACCTTGATTACCTTCATTCATTGCATTACCTTGATTACCTTCATTCATTTCATTACCTTCATCACCTTCATTCACTTCATCAACCTCATTGACTGCTTGAGCACCACCCTGATTGATCAATATGAAACATTATTAGAAATTAAGAAAGAAATTGTAAAGAATTAACCATTTAAATACTTATTTACATGTTTTGTTTTTCTTCTAGCTTTGATTTTAGGAGGCCTTGTCAGAGTACAAGCTCTTTTGTTGTGTCCTTCAATCTTACAAAGACTACATTTTTGTTTTTTCCCAGCCTTTGGATACCTTTACCTGCTGCTTACCTTTGTTTTATGTTTGGGTACTCTTCTTTGATTTTTTTACTTGTCTGGTTTTCTGTTGCATCTCTTTTCCTTTTAGTTGCAGGTCTCCCACGCATAGTTCTACGAACAGGAGGTAAAGGTGGGGTATAATCAGTTGTAGGCCACAAGTTACTTCCATTCATAGGTGTTAACCTAAACTTGTATGCCTTCATGTAAGTGATGCTACTAAACATTTGTGTACATATGACTCTACATCCCTATTCATATAACTAATAACTGCAACAAAATGGAGACAACCCATTCCATTAAGCTGTCAAAGCCTGCACAAGCAAGTTCTTCCTTCAAGAACCACCTCATAAGCATTTGTAGTTCCTCTTACTTCAAACTGATTTAGTCCAACTGATTTAGTCCACTGGGTAACACTTGGTAATGTCTTTGAGATTTCTTAATCTCATTCACTAATTCTCTAATTGTTGGACAATTTTGGTTGCCCCATCCTTGACCCTTGGATTTCTTCTTGAACACCCTATCCATCATATACATCCTCAACTCCTCTATCATGTTGATAATTGGCTTCTTCCCAGCATCAACAATCACAACATTAAAACTTTCATACATTCCATTCTCCACAGCATCACAACATCTTCCTGGTTCGAAGTAGGCCCTTGACCATGTTTTGGGGTCTTTGTCTCTGTTGTTGCTTTACATGCCTTCCAGAATATGCTTTTATATTGGGCACCACTATACCTTTTCCTAAGGTTTTGGCTAATATGTTTGGCACACTGTCTGTACTCTACATATGGAAGGAGTTTTTTTTACAGCCTCAGTCAAACCATGTTAACAAATGGAAAGTATAGTGAATAAGGATGCAAATAGATAGGGAAATTAATTACAAACAATTAAATTACCTTGTGTTGATCCGATATTACATTGTATCCATAGCCTAAGTTAAGTCCCAAGTCATCAATGAGTAAATCCAAAAACCACCTCCAATTTTCCTTATTCTCCACACATACTACTACCCATGCAATAGGATAAATCTCATTGTTTGCATCCCTTCCAACATCACACAATAACTCCCCTTTACAGATCCCTTTAAGGAAACAACCATCTAAAAACCTATTATCTTCCTGCACCCCTCCTTCCACCCCTTCTTCAATGCATCAAAGCAAACATAGAACTTACTAATAAAGTAGTTCTTCCCATATGGCATACGATTTACATCAAGCTTCATAGTGGTACATGGGTTTGATCTCCTAATCTCTTATGCATACGACCATAACTTTGCATAATGTTCAACTAGAGTACCATCTATTAGTTGGAGTGCATATTTCTTAGCTCTCCTGCATTGACCAATACTTACATGAATACCAAACTTCTGTGACACAGCTGTTCTAAGCTTTCTAATACTCATTTTTTTTGTCTAAGTAAGAACTCTCTTGTATAATGACTCCCTATCCAAGCATAAGTGACCATGGACCCTAACTTGTAGTTCCTTATACATTTGTGGTATGGCTTTAAAGACTTAATTTGGAAGCTTGATTCATACTCATCCAAGATGCCCACAACCTGAATGTGAACTCACCCTTGCAACACTTAACCAACAATCTTTTCCTATCATTTTTCTCAAAGCAAAGTTGGTACCCATTTGCAAAAGCATATTTGCATAACATTGATTTTAATTGAGCTGGATCTTTAAACCTCATACCAAGTATTGGGAACTGCTTTTTCCATGGAACTAACTCATTAAAAATGGAATGTTGTTGAGTTACATTGGCATCCTCCTCACGCCCATCATCATCATCTATGTTGTGGGATGGTTAACTGCTCACTGACTTCAATCGGAGAAAACGACTTCGAAACCTAGGTTTAGTGCTTCGTAATCATTGAGAGATGAAAAAAAGGAAGAACGAAGAAGGAGTGCAGCTGTGGGTAAATAAACGTATTTATTTTGACTTCTAAATCTTACGTGGATAAAATAAATGAAATATATAATTTAAACTTATTCCACGTAAGCAATACCACCAGTTGTTCCGTTTACCGGGTGCATAAGGGGGTAATTAGCCGGTATTTACTAACATTAAAGATCAATTGAGCACAAAAAAACGTTAGTGACTAAATATGCAAATTGTCCAAACATTGATGTGCTACGGTGTCAAAAACCCTAAAATGAAATTAAGAGCATTTTGAAATAAATTAGATTTGTTGTTCTAAAAAAATAATATGAAAGCTTACATTATGTTGACCTTGACATATAAACTAATAAATATCGATAGAATCTATCAAATTCTTCTTAATAATACAAAATAAAAAAACTATTTGCATCAAGCTTCTCTTGTGTAGGACTTGAATCGTACTGAAAAATAATGATACCCACAAGTTGAAAGTCCTCCTTCACTAATCTTGAAGGTAATGTAAATTTCATGATCTATAAAAAAAAAACTTTCAAAGCATCGAAGACCTAATATTTGTTTAAAAACTACAATCTGAAAATAGATAATAACTATTAAGAAACAAATAAAAAAATACAAATCATGAAATTACGCATAAAAACTAGTGATTTATATAAGCAACTATTACAAAACAAATAAAAACTGACAAATCATAAAAAATTATGTATAAAAATAAAGATGTAAAAAATTATAATAAAAACGATCACTTAAAAAGCTATTTTTGTAAAAATGAATTCGTTGAAAATAAATTTGTAAAAAATGTTAGGAAAGTTGATTTTTTTTTTATAAAAAATATTAATTTAAAAAAAACATAAAAAGCTAGAAACTAAAAAGAAGGATAATTTAAATAAAGTTGTAATATGTATAAATGATGAAATTTTAAGGATTAAACTTGTAACTTTACAAAACCCAAAAACTTTAAAAGAAATAAGTATTTGCTATTTATAAATAAAAAATGAAAATGTAGGACCATTTCTACAACTCTAAACTCTGATATCAATTTTGTTCAAATACAAAAGCTGAAGTCGTAAAGAGGCATTGGTCCTTAAGTTGTTGGTTTTGATTCGAATGTGTGGATATGGTCTTTTTGGTTCCTACAAATAACATCCGTATTTGGTATGTTAAATGATTGTTCAATTACCATATACCCTAAATTTCAAACTTTTAATAAACTTCTATTTATTTGTTATTATTTTATTATTAATAATTTATTATTTAACCTAAAAACAACAATGAGGAGGAGTCTCCCATCCCCAATGCGTCCATAGGGTTAGGGAGGTGAGTGTTGGGACAATAAGGGCAAAGTGATCATTCTATCAAATTTAACAGACCAAAACAAACATGTTAAATCTAAAAACCCAATCCATGGTTAAAATGATCAATTATGTAAATTTGAAAGTCATTGTAGTGTATCAAAAGAAATCATCAAACCCCATAGACCGAATTTGAAATACGCTCTATTTATAAATTTGTGTTTTGTATGACATACTTTTTTATATATTTATAAATTTATAAATAATAGAATATAAGTATTAGTTGTAGCTATAAATTAATATTTAAATTCGAATCCTATGTATAAATAATAAGAAAGTAAGTGGGAAACATGGGGTTGATTTGTTTTGTTTTTCAAAAATAATTCACAATCACACCACATGCTTTCACAATTATTTCACTTCTTCATCGCCTATTAAAAAATTTAGAAACTATACGAGTCAGAAATTAATCAAAGAAGAAAGATGTTCTATTGAAAAGAAAAGGTAAATTTCACGTAAGGAATATATATTTAATTAACTTTTATCTTAGGAAGAGCAAATTTAAAGTGAACTTTTATTTGCCGATATCATAAATTTATAATTAAATAAATGATTTAGTTAGTTAAAATAGTTTTTAACTTACAGGTAACTAGATCCGTGTCCATATTTAACCCTAAACTTACAAGATTATTTTGTATAAAAAAATGTTTTGTGTAATATAAATTGATTAAGATGTACAAATGGTCCTAAAAAGTGGTTTAAAATTACACATTTTAGGAAAATTAATAGAAGGATAAAATTAAAAAGTGAAGAAAACAAAGACATTTAAATAAAGTGTGGGAACGGATTTTTCGTTGTATATTTAGTATTGAATTTAACAGTTTGTTCTTCATAATAAAACCATGCTAAATATGATGAAATATGAACATCCATGCATATATGTAATGTTATTTGTTTATTTAACACCATGAAATCGACAACTCAGATTCTTTAATTAATGATATTTATTTAGAATATATTTTTATGCAGGCTAGGCTCATTATTAATAAGAATATTGCAAACAAAAATTCGCAGCAATGTTTTTGATACCCAAGAAAGTTATATCACATTAAATGGACTTTGACATGTTGTAAATGTCATTAATAAACGACCTACCTAACGGTTCATTTACTATTGTACTTAGATAAATTTAAATGAAAGTTAAAAACTAGTAATTGATAGTAATTGGTAGTTGGTACTGATAGTATAAATTTTATTTGTTATATGAATGATTCTATATGTAAACCTTTGAAATGTATACAATTTTATAAAAGAACATTATTTAAAAATAGATAAATATATTTTGAAGGTAATTCTAAAAATTTTGTAAAAAAACTAAATAGTTTTTCTTATACGCTACAAGCTTTTAAGTTTTTTATTTAAAATAAAAATTAAATGTTCATACTTTTAAACAAAACTTTTATTAAAAGCTACAAAACTAGAAGATCTTAAATGTTTACTACCAAACAACAACGTACTTTTAAAGTATAGTAGATCTTAAATGTTTACTACCAAACAACAACGTACTTTTAAAGTATAGTGTTTAAGGAAAAGTTTTGTTTCTAAAATAAAATTTATATCATTTATTTTAGAAAAATTAAATTACCTTCTACCTTTTATGCCTACAATTATTCCTTTAATTTCTCTTTATTTTATAATTGATTATCTTAAAACATTTGACAAGACTTATATACAAATAAAAATATATAAATACAACTCTTCAAATGGGATGCATGATAAGGCATTCATAATTCAACATAATATATGTATTTGTAATTTGCTGCACGTGAGAAAATTCTCATACCAAATTATATATTATCTCCATTCTCCACAAACGCTATGTTTATGTCTAATTTTAATCATATAGATATATCTCTAATGATTTTAAAATCGAAAAGTAATTAGTTTGTTATCATCTTAACAAGTTGTTTTTTGAACCAACCAATAAAAACTGTTATATTTTTAAACTTTAGACGATCAGTTTAAAAC